GCTGTAGGGGGAGAGGGTCGAAAATGCAGTAAGAAGGGCAATATACATTATATATATTACATGTTATTTAGTACAGGGCGTCCTCCACCCTCAAGCTGGAAGGGGGCAGGGGCGACAGGGCTACATTGATTCTTATTTTACGTCCTATTGTTTTCTCTTAGGATCTGAAAGAGAATGGGATAAAAAAAATGCTAGATGTGGTTTCTCCTCACTCTTCCCTTCATATGAAAGAGACAAGGATGGAACCACAAGAAGGACATTAATCTTTTTTCTTGTCTTCCTATCTGCAAGGATAAGAGATGGAATTACTGAAGGAGGGACGGCGGTTTTCATTACCTCATGTCTTCCCTACGTATCTGAAAAGGACCGGGATGAAATTTCTAGAGGATATATTTATTTTTCTCTTCTCTTCTCAGCCAGAAGGGGCGGGGATGAGACTTCTCGAGGAGAAATGCCTTTTTTCTTGTCTTCCTTACCTGTCTGGAAGGAGCAGGATGAAACTTTTAGAGATGACGTTTTCAAGTCTTCTCTACCCATCGAGAAGGGGCAGGGGTGAGACTTCACGAGGAGAGATACCCTTTTCTTGTCTTCTCTATTCATTTAATGAGACAAGGATGAAACATTTATAGAAGAGACAATATTCTTTTCCTTTCTCGATTCTGTCCTGAAAGGCTCAGTCGGGATACCACATAATGAAGGCAATAGAAGTCATTTTCGATTAACTTGCATCCTTTCCATTCTGAGAAAGAAATTTAATTGACATTCCTCATCTCCTTATCTTTATTTCTCATTTTCATCTATCTTTGTATATAAATTATATCCCTTCACCTTCTCCCTCCCTTCCTCCTCGACCCTCAAGCCCAACCCACTTCCCCCAAGACACCCACCTCCTTCTTCAGACGCAGAGTCACCTTCCAAGGGGAATCGAACTGAGAAGGGGTCGTTCCCCCTCTGATTTTCGCCAGGAGACCGATGTACAGGTTCGAGGAGTTCTCCACCAGGCCGCAGTTGGGGGGCAGGACCGACCTCAGCTGGGTGTCTATCCCTCCTGCCCTGTGGGATAGGGGTGGGGTTGAGGTTTATGGTGGCTGTTAATGTTTTTTTGGTTTGTTATGGCTGGTTTTATTATCATCATTGTCATTATCTGTATTATCGTCATTTTTATTATCATCATTATCATTATAATTCTCATCATCAATTGTCATCATTATCATAGTTCTCATTCTCATCATTATCTTATAATTCTCATTGTCATCATTATCATTATTCATCATCAATTGTCATCATTATCATTACCTTTATCATCATCATCAACATCGTTCTTCCCCTCCATCCTTTGCTTTCATTTTCATCACTCTCATCACTATCACATCATCACCATCATCATACCATCACCATCACTATCCCTCTGGCAAGGCCCTCCCGCCCCGCCCAGACCCACCTCCTGGAACAAGTGACGGAGGCGACGGAAGTGCACCCCTCGTCAGCGATCTTCAGGCGGCACTGCTCCAGGCGGGATTCGTGGCCGGTGCAGTCGACGAGGATGTCCCAGAGAGGGTCCTGTGAGGTCCTTGGTTCCTGAGAGGCGAAGGCGTCTCCTCTGTACCCAGACATTCGGCAGATCACCTGGTAGGAAGGAGGGTAGAGGCATTCCCAAATTTGTGTGTATGTAGACACACACACTCACACACACACACAACACACACACACACACACACACACACACACACACACACACACACACACACACACACACACACACACACACACACACACACACACACACACACACCACACACACACACACACATATATATTATATATATATATATATATATATATATATATATATATATATATATATATATATATATATATACATATATATATATATATATATATATATATATATATATATATATAATATATATATATATATATATATATATATATATATATATATATATATATACATACATAATATATATATATATATATATATATATATATATATATATATATATATATATATATATATATATATATATGTATATATATATATATATATATATATATATAATATATAATATATATATATATATATATAATATATACATACACAACACACACACACATATATATCGACAGATAGACATTTCTCTCACCTTGGCGTCCAGGTCATCGAACGCATCCCCGCAGACGCCGTTCCACTCCCTTCCCTTCAGCTTCACCTTCAGGAGGCCTCCGCGCTCGGGGTTCCCTCCCTCGATTCTCGCGGTCACTGGCTGTTGGATGGTTGTATGCATATGTATGAACAGATAGATGGATAGATGCATACATGCACACATGCATACACACACACACACACATATAAGCTTTTCTCTCTCTCTCTCCTCCTCCCTCTCTCTCTCTCTCTCTGTGTGTTAGTGTGTGCGTAGTAATAATGCTATTGATGATAATGATAATAATAATAATTATGAGAAAAAAACAACGATAACGACAATAACAACATCGACTGGAATCAACAACAACAGCAAGGACAATCCAAAACGAATAGCAACGACGCGACCGCCTCACCCCATCAGAACACATTACGGCAGCGGTAGATTCCGGTGTACAGTCTTCCTCCTCCCAGTTCAGCGAAGGACAGTCGCCGATCCAGCTCTCCTCCCCCGTGCATTCCCGGACCGACACCGACACAGGACTCGGGTCTTCTCCTAGGTAGGAGCCGTAGTAGGGGAGGGTCCATCCGTTGGTGTAGCCGAGGTTCTTGCATAGGACCTTATTGTGGGTGGAGGGGTAAGGTAGGGGTGAGAGGGTGGTGAGGGGGATAGGGGAATTGGTGGGGTGGGTGGGGTTGGGGGGGGGAGGGGTAGTGGGGGTTAGGGGTGGGGTGGTGGGGTTTAGGGGATTAGGGGTAGTGTGTGGGTGAGGGGGTGGGTGAAGATTTTTGGTAGGGAGAGGAGGGGAAGAGAAAGAAATGGTTTGAGAGAGAGTTTGAGATTAATGTGTGAATCGTAATCAAAATTGAGTTATTACACTGTCTTAGAAGAGAGAGGGCGAACAGAAAATGACACTAAGTTCCTGGGAGATATAGATAGAAAGATAGAGAGAGAGGGGGGGGGGAAAGGAGAAGAGAGAGGGAGGGAGGAAGGGAGTGAATGCGTGAGGGATGGAGGGAGAGAGAGAGAGAGAGAGAGAGAGAGAGAGAGAGAGAGAGAGAGAGAGAGAGAGAGAGAGAGAGAGAGAGAGAGAGAGAGAGAGAGAGAGAGAGAGAGAGAGAGAGAGACAGACAGACAGACAGAGACAGACATACAGACAGAGAAGAGAGAAAAAAGGGAAAGAGAAGATAAACAGACAGAGAGACAAACAAAAAGTAGACAGAAAACACATCAACAAAATAAGATCTTACTAAACACCTTGGAGTCATTAACGCGAAGGTAACTATCACACAGAGGCAGCCACTTCCCTTGGCGCTTCACCTGCACCAACCCGGCGACCAACCCCGGGGCTATGAAGGGCCGGTCACCTGGTCTCAGCCGGACTACGCCTACATGCTCACAGAGTTCCGTCTTCTCGTCACTGTCGGAGACGCGGTGGTATGAGATAAAGTGTTTTCGGTTGTAGTAAAAGGTCTTATTTTTTGTGTGTTCTGTTTTTTTTTTTTTTTTGAGTCTCTTTTTATTTTCTCTAGTCTCTCTTTATCTCTCTCTTTGTTCTTTTCTCTCTCTCTCTCTCACTCTTTTCCTAGCAATTCTTCTCTATGCCTCTCTCTCTCTCTCTCTTTCTCCCTCACTCACTATTTTCGTTCTAATTTTTTCCTCTCTCTCTCTCTTTTGATTCTAATTCTTTTTCTATCTGCCTCTCTATCACTATCCATACCTCTGTCTCTCCCCCCCCCCCTCTCTCTTTCTTTCTCTCTCTATCTGTCTGTCTGCCTCTCTCTCCTTTTCTCTCTCACACACATGCAAACATACTTTTTTTCTCTTTTCTCCTTTTGTTCATCTATTTGTCTGTTTACATGACTATCTACTTGTATATTTATCTATTTTATATCTTTTACCCAATCTCTCCTCACACGTTTTTCTCCTCACGACTTTCTCACTCTCTATCTCACTGTATTAACAACAAAATATAAATACATACAAAGCATTCACGAGTAATAGGCACATGAAACACATCAAACATACAAATTATACAACACCGATATCATAACACTTGCGAGAATTAATTCTACATCTCGACCTTTACTCTTTTCAACCACCACATTATCAGTATCATCAATGTCATCACTATCATCATTATCAAAATTATTATCATTATCAAAATTCAACACTTACTTCCTTCACTTATTATCAGAACAAAGCTCTTATCACAAAACTCACCTAATCCTATTCTTCCCAAAGCTCTTATCCCAAATCCTAATCCTATTCTTTCCAGTCCTCACTTTATCAAACTTTGTCCGTGCAGTCACTTTTCTAATTTTATTTAATTTATTTGATTTGATTTTATTTTAATTTTATTTATTTAATTCTAATTTTCTAACTTAAACAGCGCAATTTCCCTCACCTGTTATCGGGACAGTCCGATTCACCATCACAAACCTTCTCTCGCTTCAGGCACGTTTTGTCGCCTCCACAAGGGAACTCCTCATCGGAACACCTCGATTTGATACTACGACACACAACGCCCGCGATCTGTGGGTAGTTTGGGGAGAGGAGATAGTTAGTAGCAAGTATTGTACGTCAGTGTATCACTATCAAATAAGATATCTCTAAAACATGGGGTGATACTTTGTAAATGGTGGCACAAAAACTTAGTGTATTTTGTAAATGAAGGTGAAAAACAGAAGTATATTTTGTAAATAAACGTAAGTATATTTTATTAGTCAAGATGCAAATGGTAAGTATATTTAATTGATAAAGGTGAATGATGTAAGTACTGTAAATAAAATATTGTGAAAATATATTCCCCAAGTCAGTGCATCTAGCTGCAGAGAG